TGTGTGTGTGTGTGTGTGTGTGTGTGTGTGTGTGTGTGTGTGTGTGTGTGTGTACCCGTTGTATAATGTGTATATACACTTATGAATTCGTTAATTTACATATAAATCTGCTGACATCTAAATGACTACTTACTAGTTTTACAGTATCCATCTATAGCGTAGGCGTAGGTTGCTATGGTCCAGGTGGGTGTCGCAAACAGCAATACTACGATGGATATGTACAACGCTAGCACAAAAAGAGTTACAATTGCGAACTCTCTCCGACCGATGACCTCTAGTCGCATTACCGGGGGAGCCCGCACCATCACCTTCAACTTTCCTTGCGATGTACCGGCATCGCTATTAATTACAGTAGACCTCTCAACAGTTTCATTCTGACCGCTTGAAGTAATACCAATGCCCAAATGTAAAGGGACAGTATCGTCTATGTGTTCGTTGTGCCTATACATACTGTGTGCTACTTCTTCGCCCCAAAACTCCTATCCTCGCATCGAGCACCTCTCCCCTGGCATAGTTACAGAAAAAAATAGACAAATGTGAGAGTGAATGTAAGATTCCACATTGTACATACACGTTTCAAGAGAACATAAATACACGCGTACGGAGTGACTACAAATTATGGCTTGGAATAGCTGAATTGAACCGAACAAAGTGGCTTTATTTATTACTCATATATCATGTGTAAAATATTTGTATTTGCTGTTGTTGACTTGAAAAACTTGTTGCTGTTGGTGACAAAAAAAAAAATTTTATCACACATAGATTTGACTTTACTTTTTTAAGAGGCTATGTACGTCGGCCAGCAAAAAAAAAACGACAACCGACCCGATTGGATATAGATTTTTTTTTAACTACCTGACTGTCTGATAGAGTCAATAAACAAGATTACTTATTCAAGATGAAGCGTTCCTTTCACATTGACTTTTTTTTAAAGAAATAATACCTTTTTTTTTAATTAAAAATTATTTACTGCCGTCATCTTGTGAAATAAATAAGATTATCCCTACATATGACTGTAAATATATGTCGTATGTCGTATGAGTTTTCTTCTATTTTACTTTTTATCCCCACCCCCCTACAATTTAAGTATTTATGTGAATATGGGAGTTCAATTTGTCGTTTCCGTATTTATTTTTTAAAATAGAAGTATTTTGTTCTTTTAATTTTTTTCCCATAGCTTAAAGAAAACAAGGCTATGTTTTCCTTTATACTTTATCTGAGGAAAACTCTAGTGGTAAATATTTATTTGTTTTAGTCCCAAACGGCAACAATTCGTCTGGTACATTTCTCAAAAAAAAATGATGAATCTTGGACTTCTTTTATAGATCGTTTTATGACTAATGAAATTCCGAGACGAATGGTGTACATATCTATTATCTATATTTCTGGTTTTTTGAAGTATGCCATATTTATTGTCTAATTGTAACAAGCTAGAGCAGCGGGCAGCCTGATTACATACATAGGGACATATCACATATGAGTAGTGACATTTCACATATGTCATATGAGCACTCTTCTTGTGGACTGTGGAGTATATAGTATACGACGACAGCGTGAGCGAGATATTTATTTATTACACATACCCTTCGGAAAATAGAACAAGGCTATGACGCACACCTATAAAAACATGACCAGAGACACTGACTGACTGACACCTACGATGAAAAATAAATATGTCCATACATAGCAGTTTATATTATTTAGATAAATAATTTTTTTAAATGACCACCGATGACAGCCTCCCCAGAGGACCCACGTCCCAGGTACAGCAGACCTGACGACACCGGCAGGCGTCACACCATGTCGCGTCTCGCGACCGACAACAATTAACACATGTCCCGCACAAATGTGGTCACGACATTTACCATACTGAATCATAGTATGTGGCATGTTGTTGCTTAAATGTCGGCGTCGTTTACTAAAAATATAAAGCCCCAGGGAGCAAACCCCCGAGTTGAAGTATAGCCCTCTAAATTGAATAGTTGAAGACTTGAAGTGACAAAAAAAAACCAGGACAAACCCTATTTTATTTTTTTTGAAAATCTCTACAAAAAAATTACTGGTACATAAATAGTAAATATATACATATTGAGTGGCACTACTCTAGGGAGGGGTCTGCAGGGAGCCAAATAAATATTTATATACACTGTTACTGGCACTGTGCACTGGCCACTATGCATTGTGCAGTGAGCACTACTTATGCACTATGTAAATACTGCCCTGTTGTTGTTGTTTTTTTTATTTTAAAAAACATGTATTTAATAAAAAATAAAAACACTGAAATCAGGCACGTAGGACGCTGGGTATTAATTACATGACCATAAATTTTGTTATAGACGATTCATAATGATTGGTTTACACTGAACTATTTTATTGGTCTACACTGAACTATTTTATTGGTCTACACTGAACTATTTTATTGGTCTACACTGAACTATTTTATTGGTTTACACTGAACTATTTTATCGTGACTGTTCTTAGGTTGATCGTAACAATAATAAGTTGTCAACTGTCAAATGTCAACACTCAAGTCTCAATAGTCAACATACAGTCTGACGCACTCCATTCGACGCGATTCGTCACACGATTCGTCACACGGAACACAAAAATAGCACGTCCCTTGCAGTCTGCACCGGAATTCAATGTGCACACAATGTCACACATCACAATTTTGTCAGTGTTTTTGAAGGTTTCGATACAAATATGTCGACTACATAATGACTATCTCTTCAACTCAAACTGTTCACCAATATCCGGGTATTCATAAATTAGGATTTACATATACTTACAGTAGCAGGCATGTCACCAGCCAATAAACCTGCTTTGGAGGTTCCCGTGATTGATGTCTCTGTCCTTCTAAAAAATGCTGATGAAGCGTCGCCAGAAGACCTCAAAATTTGTGCGGATGAACTAAAAGCTGCTGTCTCCAGTATAGGTGTCTTCCGCATTAGTGGACATGGCATCAGCAACGAGGTATTCCTTTCACAACATCGCATAGGTACTTGAAATGAAAATTGTTTTTATCGACTCAGGTATTTTAAAGCCATTAAAGCTACATATAACAATATATATATATGTGTGTGTGTGTGTGTGTGTGTGTGTGTGTGTGTGTGTGTGTATGGATGTGTGTGTACATGTATTGTATGTGCATATGTACGTGTATGTATATATATATATATATATATATATATATATATATATATATATATATATATATATATATCACATACATATATATATGTGTGTTTGTGTGTGTATATATATTTATGTGTGTGTGTGTTTGTCTGCGTCTGTGTGTGTGTGTTTGTAGATATATTGTGTGTGTGTATGTGTGTGTGTATATATATATATTTAATTTTACGAATATATATATTATGTATACGTATATACTTATGTAACATATTTATAGATATATAATTACACATATATATATAATATGTATATGTGTATATGTGTTTTGTTTTATCTTTATATATATATATATATGTATATATATATGTGTGTGTGTATATATATATATATATATATATATCAGTTACGAATATATATATTATGTATACGTATATACGTATGTAACATGTTTATATATATATAATTACACATATATGTATATTATGTATATGTGTTTTGTTTTATTACTTATATATATATATATATAGTATATATATAGTGTATATTAGTATATATATATATATATATATATATATATATATATTAGTGTGGGTTCGTGTGCTTGCATGCATGCGTGTATGTATGTTTGTATATATATATATATGTGTGGGTGTGGGTGTGGGTGGGTGTCTGTATGAGTGGGTTCGTAAGAGTATGTGTGTGTGCATGTGTTTTCGGGTATATTTATATGTATATGTCTATATATATGTGTGTGTGTGTGTGTGTGTGAATGTGGGTGTGTTTTTGTGTGTTTGTATGTACGAAGTCGTATATTTGAAATCAATATTCAATATTTATATTATTTGTATATATATATACATGTGTGTGTGTGTGTGTTAGTATGTGTGTTAGTATGTGTGTGTGTGTGTGTGTGTGTGTACATACCTGTACGAAGACTATATTATATGTACAAACCTATGTAGACTTGGACACATATATTTGTGTATAGATATAGTTGTGTATACATGTGTACATATGTGAAATATGTTCCAGGCATATATACAATTGTATTCAAAGATTTTTGTACACTATCCGAATAGTTGTTTATAAATGAATGTGTCTGTATATTTGTATTCTTATTGGTATGCTCACGTATATATATATATATATATATGTATATATATATAGTTACTCTGTTTGATGCTTGCAAACGTTGTGTGTGCGAGTATATTATGTTCAAAGTTTGCACAGTGGTTTTTTTTGCACCCAGAATTGCAAATAGATTTTCGTGTATAAAATAACAGGATGTATGAATGTACCATGAATAACATGGTGCATTTTGTCTGCAGTTTGCTCTCCCCCCGCAACTTGAACCAAGCAAAATGACACTACATGCGTGGATATCTCGCTTCCTAACCGAAGTCATTTTTCCACATGTTGAACGGATTTTTCCAACAAAAAAATTATATAGGATCAAACCGATGCTAGCGACGCAGTCAAGTCACTATTCAATGTGTCTGAAGCGGAGAAGCATAGACTCAGTGTCAAGGCCAACAATATCAAGAGTGCAGCGGTAGCACGGGGGTATATAGGCATTGGCGAGGAGAGTGGCTCGCATCGTGTCGAGGTGAAGGAAGGATTTTCGATGGGGTACCGATGGGATGCGGTGGAAGCGGGTTTCACCCCAAAGCCGATGGGAACGAAAACAAGACCCGTGCCCGAGACACTCAATGCACTACAGGCTGTGAATGTGTGGCCCACAGAGGACCACCTGGACCTACAGTCGCGCATTTCAATGGATTCTTTGTTCGAACATATGACGAGAGTTTCTCAAGCCTTAGTACGAGGATTCTCCATGGCTATGGGGGAGGAAGCAGGGTACCTGACGCCCTACTGCAAGGGCGGAGAGAACATTTCGTTGTTGAGATTATTTCATTATTTCCCGTACTCGCAGTACAAATCGGATCAATCCGTAGACGTAGAGAGGATTGGATCCTCACCACATACGGATTGGGGATTCTTAACACTCATTATGGAACCGGGCATTGGAGGTTTGGAGGTATTCCATGATGGCGAATGGAATACCGTGCCCCCAGTCCCTGGTACCCTCGTATGTAATGTCGGTGACTACTTCAGCATGTTAACGAATGGAAAATTCGTCTCTCCATTGCACAAAGTAGTGACGGGGGATGAGGAACGATACTCGATTGTGTACTTCTACTACCCCGGATACAATTCACATATTCCTCAGCAAACCTGTTCGCAAGATCAGGAAGTCCCTTCGAGCATACGGGACGGCCTCAAAAGCTATAGCTTGGTCACTGATCAGTCTGCGAATGGTGCTGATCTGGATCAGAGCGAGTCGATAACATTGGATGATGTGCCCTTCGGAACTTATATCGCTCGCAAGTGGGAACAAGTCGCCAGATAGTTACTTTCTGCTTCTAGTCCGCAGAGCATATTTGCAACGCAGTGAGTTCAAGTATGCACCACACTACCTGAGAGTGCAATACGAGGTACGCCTCAAACTTTGATTTATTATAGCATTTTTTTGACAGCACCTGTGGTTATGTCAAATGATGCAGAATGTTGCGGCCGATGTGGCACTCAACGGAGGATCATAGACAGAACTCGAGCACAGACAGATTCATCTTGCAACTGTTAGGGTTGTGATCTTTAATCTTATTCCAGGTACATAGCCTTATTAGGCGCGGTTTGATGACAATGGTCGAATATAGGAGTTAAAAACAGATTACGACCCTTCAATTATCACGCAGTAGTTCAGAATTTCAATCATCAAGTGACTAAATATTTTCTTGGTTGACTGTGCTATCTTTGGCAGAACCTGACTAATTTTCTGCCGAACACACCCCTGTCCTCGCCCACTTATGTGGCTCTTGTTGAGTAGAGGATGAATGTCAATGATTTTGCTACAATTGTGGTGGTATATATTTTACTCTGCACTATTAGGGATGCTCATTAGCAATTAATCAGATGTCCTTGCTCGACGTATTTTTTAGTCATACCCCACTTGGCGGCCGATTTACATTGTTCACCTTTATACTCAACATTGAATATGGCTTTTCCTGCGTCTTGGAAAGGTGCATAATACTTACATTCATCAAATTGGTTGCAACTTTTATTGATGGCAAACTCAAACATTTGGTGAACGTTTTTCGAGATCTCCATTGAATTCTTGAGGCCAATTGACATGCCTAGTCCATGAGCCGCATTGGAAAGCCATTGCATGTATACAATCTCGCGGGAGATTAAATCCTTTTTAAACCGGTCTTTCATGGCGAGCGGCGCTGCGTATGCATCCGAGTTGTCAATTTCTACACCATCACATCCTTTATCTTTCGCTAATCTGTATCTATTGTACATTATAGGACTGTACAGAACCTACATTTCAATATCCATCCAGTCTTCCTCCTCGTATTGTGGCTTGCCCACCGTGTAGGGCTTGAGCTGTTCGTAATCGGGCCTCCACTTTTCAGCGGTACCAACATCTATGTAACATAGTCCATAATGACTATCATCCTTAAGCTGCGCTATCCTCTCTTCACTAGTTTCAAACACATCTACATCGATGACATAACCTTTCTCGTCATCTTCGCCACCCCACGCCATAAGGGACCAAGTGACACCACTAGGAATAGGGGTAACTTCTTTTATTGAAGTTGTAGTAGGAACACTCTGAACAACAGCACATGCGGCCAAAGGAAGGAGAAGGGTATTCATCTTGTTGACCATAGTTGGAAGTGTATTTCGTGGATATTTTCGTTTTGAAGTATGATATTGTGTAGTGTATTTTATATTTATACTCACCCTTATTGTAGACAGAATGTTCACATCCCCTGCTCCTGATTTCTGATTCAATGGAATGCAAGATTACATACATACACAACACAAGCGATACAACCCAGTAGATGTAAACATTGTATAGTAGCCGCGAAGTGTCGTGGAAGATTGTGATCGTCGCGTGCATTATCATCCACATTATTCAGATGTACTAGAATTAGAACGACAATGATTTGAGAAGCATCGTGGACGACGAATCGTATTCGTTCCCGTCTTACTCGACTCAGCAGATAAAGACGTACTCTAGAGTAGAGACTAGAGAGAGTAGGCTGACTCAAGGGCTAGTAGAGTAGTCGAGATGACTCCTAAGACTTTATGACTCCTAATACTCCTACTCCGAGTCTACTAATACTATCGACTAAATCTACTTGCTCCTATTGAAAAAATTTCTTTTTGATTTGAGAGACCTACGTGCACAATACTCACAGTAGTACAGTACATATGTACTATAGTCAGTTGTACACAGTCAATAAATATATATATATATATATATAATTTTGATTAAAAAAAATCACACAAAAAGTATTCTATAAATATTTATAGAAGGCTCCACAAGTCTTTTGACTCTTTTGACTTTTTCACTTTTCCCGTGAAATGCTTCTCTAATTAATTATTTGTTGCTCTTCGAAAAGTTCGTTGTGACAGGCTTGTTGAGTTGTTGTATGTATGGTCTGGAGGTCTTCTGGCATATTATGTACGGTATTTTGAACTGCTCTACTTGCCTTTCTCAAATATCAATCGTTATTCTTCCTTCCTTAAATCATCCGCAGTGGTCTCTCGCTTTTTCTGATTTTGTCGAGTCTTTCCAGTAGGATAGGGTTTCCACCAACCAAACAAGCGATCCCACAGCATAATGTATTGTCCGTAGTTTGCGTCCGGATACCAATGATGTATGTCGTGATTCTTGACCGCATAGACCGAATTGAAGTAGGGGAATTTAAAGTCGAATCTCGTGTGATTCAGAGAAGCAAGAAACCCTCCTGTGCGTGAATGATGGTATGCGAACGTGGCGCGCGAAAGGGATAAGTTATACCGATAATTGCTTACTGCGAAAAATGTGCAACGCGCTTTGGAGTATCGCGTACCGTAAAGTAACGTAGCCACTTGCCACATTTGTCATAGACATGAACTCGTATTAAAACAATATCATCACTTTTCTCTGCAAAAATAGGGTACAAATGGATATACATACCGACGCCGATGAAGACCACAGCCGTGACGATATGCACTGGTACGAGGTATGTACCCACCAGCCAAATCGAGAGCATATGGTTATATTCGCCGCAAATATACTCGAAAGGGTGCACGTTCGTTGCATCGACGTTTCCTCTAGAAGGTGCCCGCTGTCGATGGTGGTGCTTATGTATGTACTTGTAGACTGAACGATGGTGCAGCGCACGGTGGAAGAGCGTGTAAAAGAAATCGTACACAACGAAAAGACAAATACCCGCTAGAAATGTATTGGAAAATGTAATATTTGTTGTCGCCCACACAATTTCATCGCTGTGCCAACAGTGCCTGCACAAGTACAGGAAACAAAAATATGGAAATATACTATTAGCTTTGCCGAGAATATTCTTTAAGGCCAAATATGATTGAAGATATATATA